CCCCGCCCCCGCTCGCCGGGGCAGTGCAGAGCTGTCACAAGCCGCACTCCGGCGCTTGTGCCTCTCCTCTCTGAAGGATGATGCCCCAACGAGAAGCAGAGCCTGGACCCCGGCTCCACGGACGCCAGGCTGGCAGACACCCCGCCGTGCCTGGACCCCCGCCTGCCGCACGCCGGCATGCCGCACCCCGTACTGCGCCGGGGGCTCCTTCGTGGGCAGCGTCCTGAAAGCGGTGTCGGGGAAAGGTGAGCTGGCACCTGCTGTCTGGGTGCTGGGGGGGGTCTCTGTATGGGGATGGGGGATCGCTCCCCTCCATGCTGGGGATGTGCACTGGTGCTGAGTGAGGAGGAGATCTCGGTGCCATCCCCATGCCTTTCCCTGTGGATCCCCTGGTTCTTCCCTTGTGGCTGCCATGGGTTGGGTCACGGCTCCTGCGAGCGGCCGGGGTCTTCTCTGAGCTCCCTGGGGCAGATGGGTGCATGGGTGAGCTCTGGTCGTGCTCCCCGCAGCACGCAGGGCTGGGCACAGTGCCTCTGCCCTCTCCTCTCACAGATGCCGATGAAGCTGCCAGAGGTGGGAGCGCATTTACCAAGGACAAACGTGCCTCTACACCAAAGCCAATAGGTACTGGGGCTGTCACCCTGCCCTGGACCCTGCTCCGAAGCTGCAGGGCTGCCTGCACGGGGGGTGACAAGCAGGCATGCCCTCCTGCTTGGCTCTGTGTCCCCTGGGGCTGACATTCCTCCCGGGCCGCTCACGAGCCTCTGCCCTGCCAACAGAGCCTGAGGATGGTCTGCTGGAGAGCGTGAAGGAGCTGAGAGCTGTGGTCTCCGACCTTGCCATGCTGAGCTCCCGTATCCAGGAGCTGGAGCAGAGCGAGTTCAAGGCGCTGCAGAGAGAGATGTGAGTTCAGTGGGGCCTCGTGTCGAGGGCCAGGCATGGGCAGCGCTCTCCTGGGCACGGTATCTCCTGCGGGCAGCCTGTCTGGGGTCTGCCTCTTGCCCCAGCTCTGGATTAGACCTCTCCTGCCATGGCTAGAAGGGCTTTTTCCAGCTGGCCGGGCTGGTGGGTTGGGCACTCCCACCCTGGGGCTGGTGGGATGCCCAGGAAGGGGTTTGGTACCTGGCACCATGCTTGGCTGCGATCCCCACCTGCTCAGCCCTGCTGTCCTCTCCCAGCTCCGACCTGCAGCTCCGGCTGGAGACTGTGACGGCTGAGAGCCAGGAGAAGATGGATGCCCAGGCTGCTGCTATCGCCAAGCTGAACAAGGCGCTGAGGGGCAAGCTAGAGGTGAGCTGGTGCCAGAAGTGGGCCAGTGCTCACCCCAGGGCAGAGCCGAACTGGGACAGGCGCTGATCTAGGACGCAGAGAAATCTGGGTGACTGGCTCCAGCGCTGCCCCATGGGTGCTCCTGGCTCGTCTGACCTTCTTGAACATGAGAAAACCCGCTCCCCCCCCCGGGGTGCTGAGGGTGGTCGGGGCCGGGCACTGCTGACACCGCCTTCTTCCCCCCCACAGAACGAGAAGGAGCTGCAGGACGTGGTGAAACAGCAGGAAGAGAAGATGCTGCAACTCATTGACAAGAGCGGGGAAGTCACGGTGCGTGATGGGGGCCTGGCTGAGCTGCACGCCTGGGGGGTGCTGGCCGTAGGACCCCTTTCAGCATCTCCTTTCCCCCTGCAGAGGCTGAAGGGAGAGGTCTCCCAGCTGAAGCGCTCGCTCCAACGCGCGGAGACGGAGGCCAAGGTGCTGTGGGAGGAGATGCGGGGGCAGGAGCCCAAGGTGGATGCCGCCTATGTCCAGGAGCGAGTCCTGCTGCGGCAGGAGGTGAGGCCGGGGGGCTGGCGGGGC